GAAGGAAGTGGTCAGCACTCAGGGGGTGGGAGGTGAGTTCCTACCCCTCGAGGTTTATGCTGCCAAAGGATACAACGTCGATTTGATTCGCAATGGTTGCGAGAAGGAAATTCATCCCATTTTGGGAGAGACATACCTTCTCCCGATCAAGCGCAAGGACCGTGCAGAGATCAACAAGGAAGTTGAAGCAACTGTGGTTGCCGCCGAATCCCAAGCCAAGAAACGCAAGATGCCTCAGGAAGAAGCACCGAAAAGAGTCAAGGGAAAGCAACCAGATGTGCAGCCTACGCCTCTCACTCAGGAACAGAAGGAGCTTCAAAAGAATTTGGTTGACCTTACTTGCCTGCAAACGGACTCGGAGGATGAAGCTGCATGCGCAGCTGCGGCCAGCAAGGGGAAGAAAGAGGCCGCCAAGCTCAAGGCTCAAGAGAGGAAAGACTTGAGGGCCCAGCAAAAGGCAGCTGCCCAGGACCACAAGAAGACTTTGGCCCTCGCTCACAAAGGCATGGTTGTGCTCCCTCCGATCTGCGACAGGTTGTCAAAAAACTTTCAGCAAATGGAGAAGATGAAGGAGCAGCTCACAGAAGAGACTGTGACTTGCCTGACTGAGGTGCATGAGAAGATGACTACATGGCTGAGTGAATCGCAGGCTGCTTTGAAAAAAGCAGCTTCAAACAAAACGTTGACCAAGGAGGATTTGGGATTCGAGAATGACAAGGAGCTCTCTGGACAAGTGAAAGCGTCCCAGGAAGCCATTCGCGGCTTGGTAGAGAACAAGAAAGCCCTCAAGGGCGGAGCATGAGAGATCCGTCTGTTTTCGGGTGGTTTGTGTTTGTCAACACAAACTTGGATGCGCAACATCCACAGTACATTACAAGAGATTGCATCTTTGGCTCTTGCTGGCGGGGGAAAAGAAAGATGCTATCTGTCTTTCAATACTTTCTACTGGTTAGGATTTGTATTGTTTCACTGGCGGTTGTCCTGCCCTGTCAATTGGATACGCTGTTGCTGGCGGTAGTTCTGCCCAGAAATCAGATGCTTCATTTTTCAATTTGTTCAATGGTGATGATTCATGTCTCAAGCTGCGCAAAGCTACCTTGTCAGACTTGACTCGACATGGCGTCCTCAGCGGCTGCCGTCTCTCAGAGGTCTCTAAATCTGGACGATGTCCAGAGCTTTTACGACCAGTTGCTGCTGGCAAAACCCTCTGCGAGCAAAGAAGCAGACTTCGAGCTGGAAAATTGTCGCGAAGTCTTGCTGTGGCTGCGAGACTTGTATGTGTCTCACAAGATCGCTTCACAAGGCTTAGCAAAAGCCATCTGCTTGTTGACCACCGCCCGCCAGTCCTTGAAGTTTGGAACCCCAGTGGAAGTCATTGATTGGAAAGACTACCAGCTGTTCAACGACCGAGAAGAGATTTTGTCCACGCAGGAATCGTTGAGGAAGAAAAGCGGCAACATCTCGATGAAGATCGGTGAGCTGAAGAGTGCGGTTGCTTGGTCTGCACCATTCACTGGCTTTGCGGGCAAGACAGCAGCCGTGTGGCAAGGGATTCACGCTCTGATGGAAGACAGCTTGGTGCAGATGCAGCACTTGGAGGCATACCTCCAGTCTCAAGTGCGGTCTGACGAGTAGGGCACCTCTTATGTAGGGTGGATTCCGACAAGTGTCAACTGTATACGGTGAAAAGAAAGTGTACATATATATAGATTGTATGTGTTGACTGTGGCGGTTGTCTGCCCAGGTTGATGATTGGCATGCTTTGCAACTGTGTCCCACGCAGGCATGTATAAACTCAAATGTTTGGTGGAAGTTTCAACTTCACGAGACAGCGTTGTTCGTTTATATATGGATATATATATATATATTTATTTATGTATTTTTGAAATGCTTCAAGAATTTGAAAACCAAATGTTTCAAGAGAACCACAAGGGTTAAAAGGCATCCATATCAGAACATTCACTGGATGACTTCAGGCTTGGAGCGGCCATGGAAAAAAGCTTGCTTGGCCCACTCCCTGATCCATACTTCAGCTGAAGTCGTGTTTAAGCTTCAAAGGCTTGCGAGCGGACAGGAGGCTTATTCTTTGCCGCGGCCCTCTGGGGCTTTCCAAAGGAAAGTGAGGCAGATACTAGAACCTCCAAAGAATTGTTTCGTACCTCTAAGCATTGACAGTGCTGAGGGTGAGTCAATTCATTTTTGGGCCGCTGACTTAGACAAATTGATGTCGTTTGTAATCGAGAAAGCGCCAAACTACAAGGCAGCCTTGCTCTCATCTCCTTCCACCAGCTTATCTTTCATTTGGTATGCTGACGAAACAACAGGGGGCAATGTCTTGGCCACTTCCCAAAACAAAAAATGCATGTTGGTGTACATGGCTGTGCACGAGCTGAAGCACCTGAATTCCTCCTGTGCTTGGCTTCCTTTCTCCGCAATTCCTCACAAAGATATTCAGCTGCTTCCTGGAGGCTTTTCAGAATATTGCGTTGCACTAGCGCGTCATTTCTTTCAGTGCCAGGCTAAAGGTCTGCAACTTGCTGGACGGCATTACACAGTCTCTTTGAAAGCGTGGTTGGGAGACTATGAAGCAGTCTCGGGACTCCTGGGTGGAAAGGGAGCCGCAGGTTTGAAGCCTTGCTGCTTGTGTATGAATTGTGTGTGCAAAGGAAGCGATGTGGTTCACCACAATGACTTATTCAAAGACATCACTTGCATGAAGATAGAAGAGTTTCAGCCATACAATCAGATGGAGCTCAATCAAGCCCACGACTACTTGATGACATCGAATTCTGCTTTGTCCGTGGCGCGCAGAGATGAGGTGGAGCGCCAATTTGGATTCAGGCTGCAAAAGAACACTGTGCTAGCTACGCCAGTTGCCCGTGACCTCTTCAGACTGGACAGATGCATTCTCGATTCAATGCACATCTATTTTTCCAATGGCATTGCTAGCCAGGAGCTGATCTTGATACAACAAGCTTTGCTGCGCAACCACGGAACTACTCTGGCTGATTTAAAGAAGGCCGTTGCGCAGGTATCATGGCAGTGCGCATCTCCAAAATACAGATCTCCATCAGCTCAGAAGTGGCTTTTTCACGAGTCGTTCTGGGCTGGAACAGTCTACAAAGGAGATGCTTCAGCTGTTTGGTTTCTCCTCAGTCTACTCTGCTTCTATGCTTCCTCCTTGGCCACCTATGAAGATTTACCAGAGCTGAAATCTTTTCACGCTTTGATGGAGGTGGTGAACATTTTGAAGCAGTTCCGACGCGGGAATGGCTGTCCTGATGCGCTGCGAAGTAAGCAACGAAGACACTTGCAATGCTTCCTTGATATGTACACTGAAGAAGCAATCCGACCAAAGCACCACTTGAGTTTACATTTGAGCAAGTGCTATGAATATATATACTGCGACTGCTGGGCAGGGGAGAGAAAGCATCAGCAGTTCAAGAGACAGTTGGTGAACGACTTGCAAAGTCTTTTGCAAAAAAACAATGGACAGTTTTCGCAGGCGGTGCTGACACGCCTTTTGCACCGGAACGTTGAGCAATTTCATCTATGGAAGCCGCAGCTTGCAGGAACATTGTATGAAGCTGAAGAAGTTCGCAATGCTTGTGGCCTTGAGTGCCGCATGGGCACCACATACAAAGAGGGAAGCGTTGAGTTATCGAAGGATGATGTTCTCTTCTTTGGACGTGACAGCGCAGGATTGGCTTTGTTCTTTCTGGAACGAGAAGAGCGTTTTTTCGCTTTCATCGAACAACTGGTGGAAGAATCAGCAGCGGTTTTCAACACTCGCGCGTTCAAACGAACGCCCCAGATCGAAGCTGTGCCAATCGGTTGCAGCAATGTCTGGCGGCCAGCGTGGTGGTGCCACGAAGATGACAAAGTCGTGTGTCTGCTGTAAAAGTGCGACTGGCTGTGGACTTGTGGCGGTTGTCTGCCCAGAATTTGAAAACACTTGTGTTTTCTGTGTCTTTGGCTCGGCGGTTGTCTGCCCTGATTTTTGGCAACGCAAACAACTTAAGCAACTTAATAACTTCTACAACTTTCTTATAACTTACTTACACTTTCTTTCATATAACTTACTTATAACTTATTTTTAACTTCAGTAAGTGCTATAACTAAAGTTATAACTATGATAACTTGGGGGGCTGCTTAGTGTATCCTAATACCTGTGACAGTGGATGATGATGGTTAGTAAAGGCCGTGTAAAAATAGTGATAATTGTTTACTGACTGTTACAAGTAATGGGACAAACCCAACTTGATTATATATGATGTAAGTGTACATTTATCCACGTATGAATCACAATTGATATCACCTGTATGCATGAAAATTTGTACAGTCATTCTGCATCCAGGCAGTAGGGTGAATGCAACATTGGTGTTTCATGCAGTGAATGCAAAAGAAGGTAGAAGAAGGCAAAAGAAAACAAAATAAGTTAAAATAAGGCAACATAAGTTAGCAAAAGGCATCATCAAACTGTCAATGTCATTGTGATGATGATACACATAACATATAAATAAGTATCATTGAATAAACAATTTACGCACATTACATACATCATTTTACATCAAACCACATACATTTGCCATTCAATGCCGTTGTGATGTCACTCTTAATTTTGATGACATTGGATACCTCATCCTTACAAGCACGACCAATGACAGGTCTTTGGCCCTTAAGTCTTAGAAGCTGAAGATGACCCCGATCATATATGCCTCACGAAGATCGACATGGAACCTCCTCTAGAAACCCAATGAAACCCATAGGCCAATAGTCTTATGTAAGGCTCCTACGTCCAATGGCGTCGGCGTCGGGTGGTTCCGCAGCACGTTCGGCACGTTCTGCGGTGTGTTAATGCAACTGACCCAAACACTCCATGTATGCAACATATGCCTACATTGGGGTCAATGTAGGCACATGGAGCGTCTGGGTGAAGCGGCTTCTGCTTTCCTACAACGAGAGACCGGCCCAGCCCGGAAGAAGATGTCCCCATCCGCCTTTCTTCAGCTGTGTCCTCACCAAACAGCAGCTTATTCTCGCCTTGAGCCCCAAGATGTGAGTGGAGGTGGTGAAAACCGTGTCAGTTAGTGCTGAGCACGGGGCTCTAATGTTGCCAACCTTGACCCTCGCACCAGCAATCTACTACAAATTCTTGGGGAGTGAGCGGAAGCTCGCTGGAGCTGATATATAAAAATAAACACACAAAAAATGTCAACTCCTGGTTCTTCAAAGTGACCAAACTTGATATCCTGGTTTGAGGTCACCAACAGGCCTGTCACAAATCACTTTAAAACTCAAAAAACAAAAAAAAAAACACCCTGAAGAAGAGCCGGAACTGAAAAAGACACAAACAATCACAAACGCTTATTGCGATGCCCTGGGACAGCGGATGCCATCGGCTTGGCTTAGATCATGTACGCGCTCTTCCAGCCCACCAAACAAATCACGACTCTTCAAGCCGGATTGGTTTGCAGGGACGTTCGAATCGAAACCTGTGATGCTGTTCCTGGTTTCACTCGATTCAACATCCTCGGCTGTCAGCTGTCACTGTCACCCATGCTTTCCCCACACCAAAAATGGAGTCTGCTTCCTGGGGGGGTGGGGATATCAATAAACCATCTCTGGAGCAACGGCGCTTCCAAACCATCGCTGCGCTCCAAGTCGCCCTCCCAAATCTGCCACCGCACCACCAGCGCTCGCGCTGCACTCGTGCCGTTGGGGGTGACACGTGTCCACAGCACGATGGCATCCGGAAGTGGATCCCCAGAAGCCACGCCGTGGAGAAAGCGCCAGGGCATGGGGGCAGGATGGGATGGTCAAGCCGAAGAGGAGAGGGTTTGATTGGGTCTTGGGTCACGTGGGCGCGTGATTGGTAGAATGGAAGGGACTGCTGTTCCACAGTGTGGTGTATGGTTGGATGGGTAAAAGGAAGGCGCTCCCAGAAACAGTTGATTGACTTCCTCGGTTTCCCTGAAAAATCAAGGCTAACCATGGCTAACCTCTTTCCACCTGTTCTTGCTGAATCAGTCGAGAAACCAATCCTCAAGGAAAGTAAAGGTTACCCACTGACTAGGTTAATGTTAGCCTAAGGAAGCCTAGGGTTGAAGCCGTGGGGCCAGGGTCACTTGATGTCACTTGATTTCTTCTGATCATGTGAATCTAAGAGCCTATGACTGGCTCCTCATGAAGGTCCCACTGAACAACCATCCCATCACAACCCTCCTCCCCGCTAGTAAAGCTGGACAGCTGGACCCTATTAGTGCTGGCCTCAGCTGGGCCAGATCAGTCCTTCGGTCTCCTATTTCATTCAAGTTCATTCCCATGCCGTGGCGGGCGAGTGGTCGCGCAAGAAGTGGCTGTCCGTGTGGTCTCCAACAAGGTCCGTGTGAGTCTCATCTCATCACCGGGAGCCAAGTGGTCACCATTGGAATGTGTTGCTCTTTCTCGGAAGTGCTCTACCCAAACACTCCATGGGACTGGCATATTTACCTATACATATTATATATATATATACATATGCCACACATATGTCAGTCCCAAACAGCTCATGTCTGCTCCATCTACACGAGGCGAAAGCTCAGTGCTTCGCACACCCCGGAGAAAAATCAGCGATCTCTGTGAGCCACGGGGGCAGAGCGCGCGCCTGGGGAACTGGCAGCATCCATTTTGTGTTTAGAGTTGTTTTTTCTGTGTTTTTCTCACTCATGGAGCCTATGGAGATCTTCACAAAGCTGCGACATGATAGAATCGGATAGAACATAAGGTACGGGTATCTGATGGAATCTGTATCCTGGGCAGCTTTCTATCAGCTGATCGTCCTGTCTTTTCTTCTATTGCTGAAGGACAGCTTATCTCCACGTGATGGTCCACATGCTCCCTGGTAAGAATTTGACAAAACGTGACAAATGAAGGACTCGCAGGTAGTAGACTTCCGAAAACATTACATTTCACCATCAAAACATCGGGGTCCATGTTGAACCCCAATTTCTAGATTCTAGAGCAAGTTTGCGTCGTTCAGATTATGTGTTGGTCTTGCAGGTAATTGATAGTTGAGGGAATGAAATTGAAACATGGATTGAGTTGTTTTTAGATCCGTCCCCAGAACATGGATGGGGCGCAGACAACAACACCAACTCGCTAAGGTGCCCTGGTCAGCTATTCGGAGTCAGGAGTGCATCCCTACATGTGAGAATGTTCCATTCTTAGGGGGAACAAATGGATTCGGACCTACAGTAACCAGCTTGTGGGCGTCTTGTTCAGCCCATCTTATTCCACGTTTCAGCCCGTGGGTTGAAGCGACGGTCGTTGGTGGTTTCTTCGCGTTCCCCCGCAGGACCATGACGCCCAGGCCGGGCCCAGGCCTGCTCATTTCCAGAGCGGCTCGTCCTGCTTGTGGGGTGCAGCAGGACTATAAGGTGACTAAGGGGGGTTCAGTATGTCTCAGTCTCGGAATGGTGGATATTCAGACCCGGGTCCGGCCCTTCCGACCAGTCATGTAACCTCATCCGTTTAGGCCTGGAAATTCGATCTGATCTCTACAAGACCCGGATGCTCTGACCGTTTCAATGTCGGCTTTCTGACCCATCGCCGATGGATGAACACAGCCGGACCAATCCGTGTGTGGTGTGCCCAAACGCACCGCGTCCACACCGCACACGGGCTCCAGCCGTGCCTTCATGGCACGGTGCGAAAGCCGATGGTCATTTTCCCTAAGGCTCCAGCCATACCAAACTTGAGTAGGTGTTTGGGGAGGTGTCAGGACCTCAGGGCCAGCCATACCAAACCTGAGGAGGTGCGAGGTCTGAACCCCTAACCCTGGAGCACGACGGAGCACACGGATCCGACTGCTGGGACCCTGGCAAGTTGTACGACACTGGTTGGTATCGGGTCCACCACTGCCTCAGATCACAAAAAACGTCCCCTGGCCCCAGGAGTTGGGACACCCGGCAGGTAGTAGCAGTAGCACACGGTGGTTCGTATGTGGCGCAGATTTGGCCGGTCCTACCGTGTCGTACCCACCTGGAATGCAACACATTTAAGCGGCTGAAACATGTTGCGCATGTCTTCAGGAGGGTCATCTCCGCGACGATAATGTTTTGGTTTCGATGGAAGGCTTATCCGCTCGCTTATCTTGTCATGCAACAAAAAGGAAAAACACATTACTCCAAGTTGCACAGCTTAGACAAGGGATCTCAACAATCCTCATCCCGCCATATCCTGCCTGCCATGGGAGGATCACAAAAGCACCGTCACCCCTGTGGATCCAAGCACCTTCTCAGGTACGGTATGTGTGGAGACACTGTTTGTCTAGGTGGGTTTGCAGGGTCCAGTCGTACCCAACCTGAGAAGGTACGGCTGGATCCCTAGGGTCCTGCAAAAGGGAATGGCCGCAAACATGAATATCCAATCCGCAGTGCCTTGTTTTCAAAACTGCACATGAACGCACTCCTCTGATGCGGAAAGCAAGCGTTCCTCCGTTCCTCTCCTTGAAGAGAGGACCAAGATTCATTGTTCTACATATATTACCATCACCTGAACAAGGGAAGAACAGGAAAAGAACAGGGCTAAGGCTAATTCTTCCTATTTCCTGGATCCCTGAATGCACAAATCTTAACATCATCCAAAAGCTCCTGTTGCCGGGACCCCCCCCTGTCGCATTGCCCAAGCTGCTGCCCTTGGATGTGCTCCGTAGGTGGGGACACTTGGACTGCCTTGAAGCCCTGGCCGGTGGTAAAGGTAGAGGTCGCATCAGGCCGGGCCCGAGTGTGTCTTCAATAGGTGAAGCTCAACTTGGGAAGATCAACAAACAACGCCACTTGGAAGTTGGCTCTTCAAACATCTGAGACTCCCTTTTCGTCATATGGAATCATGAATAGTGGTTCATCCGGCCTCGTCGGGCCAAGGGGCCGGAACTTCGGCATGATCATTTCAGGGAGTGTAATTTTGTTCCTGCTATAGCTCCTATAGACTAGCCTATAGCCTATAGCTAGAGCCTATAGCTCCTTCCTGGCTATAGCCTATAGCTCCTATAGACTTGGAATTTCAAACTGTTCATGGAACGTTGCTGGGTGAATTTGACGGATCACCTTTGAATAGCTTCTTGTCAAAGCAAGTACTATAGCAATCATCTACCATACAAAAACACGCCAAAATACCACAAGTACAATCAGTAGAAAGAAACACCCAGGGAGACCAGGGGCTTCTCTCATTCTCAAAGAAGTGACTGGTAAGCGGTAAGAGGGAAACGTTCCATGGCCCATGGCTCAAGGTTGAACAAACCCACCCTGATTCGGACGAATTAGCCATCTAAACTGCGAAGAGATTTGGATCATGTTCCTTGTCCAGTGCTCTTCTACCAGTCTCTATATATTGGCTTAATTGGATGCTTAGCTGGGAGGCCAAGCTGGCCAAGCTGACTCGATCCCAGCAAAAGCCGTGGACCGTTCCACCACTGTTTCGGGGCATCGACGTGTGGACGGACATGCTCATTTCGGTCGGCGGTGCACACGTTATCAAAGCAAATCTCAATATGGGGACGGATCAAAACCTGGAGCCCTCCTCACCATGTAGCGAACGACCTTCCAGATATATAGGTCAACCATGGTCAACCTAGGTATGCTGGTCTTGACCCACAGCCATGTGTCTTCCGCGCTTAAAAAAGACACAAGTCATACATCTCCCCATCTTAAAAAAGAACCTGACACCGGCCTCCCAGCTCACCTGGCCGCCGCTGGAACCACCGGTTCCCGCCTTGGGGCCCAACCAGTCTTCGCACTCCTGAGCGATGTCGCTCCAAGACCTCGGCGACGAGGTCTGGCACCGACTGAGGGAGCGAGTGCGTCAGTCCGGGCCCAGTGGCGACCTCTCTGAACGGTCTGAAGGAGAGTAGTTCCTCTGAACGGTCTGAACCCACTGTGACAGGTCTTTTTGGGACACACCCAACATATGCTCCGGAACACATATTATGACCACAGAAATGTGGTGCTTTGGTTGTTCTATTCTTGATCGATCTGCTGATCAGTGATCAAGCGCTAGCCGCTAGCCCAGTTCTTAGGAGCCACCCAGATGCGGTCTAACTTGATGGTGGAAGCTGCAATCTTTGGTGATGCTGTTGATCCAGATTTTCTCGCGTTTCCAAACTGCATTCCTTCTCAGCGGTCTGAAGCAAAACCAAGCAGAAAAGACTGAGCCTTTCTGTTGTTCAACGGTCTTTTTCCGAGGGTTCCATCACCCGGCCTAGAACTGTTGTCCGTGCTCTCCAAGTCACCAAGTCACCAAGCAAACAGTCCAGTGACTACCGATGTGACCATGAAACCCTGGAAGCCTCCAAGGGCTGAACATGACCATTCATCTTTCATCCACGCTCGGTTCTTGAAGAACTCCTACAAGCTTGGCCATGTGTTAGATGAGTCCACATGTGTACCTCATGTACAAGTTCCCGAACCAATTCCCACAGTTCATACCCAAACACTCCATGTCATGCCTACATTGGCCCCTGAAACCGCCTCCAATGTCTATTCAATGTCAGGTACCATGCCATACATGGAGTGTCTGGGATATGATGTTCCATCATGTTCCCAAACGCCTGGCCCAACTGCCCACCATTGCCGATTCTGCGGCCACTCAAAGAGGTGCACAAAGGCGTCAGAAGCGGGGTCAGCACCTCGCCGCACGTGCGGGTCAGCATAACTCGCTCCAATGGACGGTAGCCACTGTCTGAGTTTCAGTGTGTAAATCCTTTCAAAGATATGCATCGCTGAGACGCTGGAATGCATGTTAAGGTGCGGTCGACCAAGAT